TGTAATTGTTTTTCCTTCCTGTGTCATTTTCTATTCTCTTTGAAAGCACTGTAATAACCATGTAAAAAGTCATAATGTCTGCAAGTTAGCTCTAGGTTTCCTTTGTGTAGTATGCATGGCAGAATTGGACCCAAATTGTCTAGATGTCTGGAGAATAAAGTCTTAAGCAAGGACTAAATCAATCATGACATACCTAAAATGTGCAGAAACACTTCTGTTAACCTAGGCTATTTTGAAATTAGGAGACAAAGAGAAAAGAATGCCTCTTTTGCTTCAGAAAATTCTCATAGGGTTTTTTCCCCCCTTTTAATAAGGTAATATTAAATAAGGCTTTACCTGTTTATATAACACATCTTTCATTTGCAAGGTATTCAACAGCTTAAAAGCTAATGGCTGAAAGAACTACTTAAGTATCCCTGAAGGGTGTCGGTACTGTTTTAGTGGGCTATCTATGAGTACTTTTAACACAGAGATCTGCAATAGCAGAAAACTGTCATACAGGATTTATTCTTAGCTCCTCCACAGTAGCCTATCCATTTTGCCCATGTTCAGAAATTACTTGAAAATAAATGTCTTTGGAATTCAATCTTTACTTACTCTTTGCTGCTTTATGTGTTCTGCACTGTCTTGTATAGTAAGGCAAGTAATTGTGGCCTCTTTCTTTTTCTAATAACCTCAGGGACCAGTTCCATTTTGTGGCTGCTTCACAATTATGTGAAGTTGGACTTTTGCCACTGGAAGTGTACTTTTAGCATGGCCATTGACATTTGCCTGCAGCATCTGCACAACTTCCCTTTTAAAAAGAGAACATTTTTTTTTAAGTAAACTTTTACATTTCTTCAGCAAAATGGGTTTTTATCCAAGTGTTCATGTTCAAATCATCTACTTCTCTTTTGTATGTTAAACTTCACTATGGGAGTTTCCTCCCCTTCAAATAAGATGCTTTTGTGGTTAATGTACAGTACTGGATTTCAGGAAATCAAGAGTTCAGTTTCTGGTTTAACCGCAAATTTCCTGTGTGATTGGTTACTATCTCTCTTGGCTCCCCACAGATGTACTGATGATGCTTTATAAATTTGCAGGTTAGCAGTGCCCATCTTGATAATTTAATCTGAAACTCTGCAGAACAGAAATGAAAAAATATAATTACTTGCAGAAATCAATGTATACAAGTATCTAAAGGGTGTGTGCAAAGGAGATGGAGACAGGCTCTTCTCAGTAGTTCCCAGTGTCAGAACAAGGGGCAACAGGTACAAGCTGGAACATAGGAAGTTCCATTTAAACATAAGAAAAAACTTCTTTACAATGAGAGTGACAGGGCACTGGAACAGGCTGCTCAGGGAGGTTGTGGAGTCTACATCTCTAGAGATATCCAAAACCTTCCTGGATGCAATCCTGCTCTAGTTTATCCTGCTTCAGTGGGAGAGTTGGACTAGACCTCTAGAGGTCCCTTCCAACTCTAATGATTCTGTGATTCTGTGAAATTATGGGGTTTGTTTGTGCTGTAACATCTTGCAAGATTTAACTGTCTTTGATTTTGTTCAAGAATCTGTTTTCCCTTGAGAAACATTCTCACCATTAAGAGTCTCCAGTGGTATTGTGGGGTTTTTTTTCCTTTTTATTTTGAGTTATACTTAGGAGTTTGCTCTTCTTCCCAAAGGTAAAAGACTTGTTTAAGTAAAGTTCTTAGACTAGTCAAGGCATTTCTTAATATTTTTCCTCAGCTAACATAAAGAGGTCTCTTAGTCAGTCAACCTGAGTGTCCAACATAGCTCATGGGTTCTCTGGGTAATGGAGGCACTAAGTTTAATTCCGTGTGTGTGCATGGATCAGCTGTACTGTGCATGTAAAACAGGACCATATTTTTATAACACCTTTATTATAAATGTTTATTCCTACTTGATTCCAGTGTTAGATGATCAGGACTAGGTTTTTGCAGTTTAATGCAGTGGCATCTTCTTTTCCAGAAGTAGTTTGGAAAATGCTGCTTTGCACTGGGCTTGAGGTGGGCACCTGTTGCCCTAAGATTTTACTGTGTATGTGTGTAGCATAGTGTAAGTCTTGAGGCAAAATCATGGTACAAAGTTTTGCAAAAGGATTTTCAGGAAAGCTAGCCAGTAGAAACAGGCTGCTAACTACAAACTGAGTAAGTCTGATATTCATTCTGGATTTTTGTTCTGAACTCTTTTTCAACGTTCAGTTTTGCAGACAATTTTGTCACCGTAAAAGCATGCTTGTTGTTACCTCACAGTTTTGCTCAATATTTTAGTCAAGCATATATATCCATGTATTGCACTTCTGTTTCAACAAGAAAGTTCCACTGAGAGATTGTGTTCAGCTGTAATCAGGACCCACTTATGTTTGCTAATAGAAGGCTAGTATGAGCACTCCATAGTCTTCCTTAGTCCTACCTTAGTTTAAAACATAGGAAAAACTCTGTATGTGTTAATCTTTATTATTTTGTTTTAAGCAGGGTAAGGACTATTTTGCAGCTCTACCAACAACCAGAATCGTAAGGGTAGGATGTTATGATACAACAGAGTGGCAAGCATCAAGGCACCAACTCTGTGCTCTAGGCTCTGCAACTAGCATGGGTTTTTTTGTTGGGGTTTTTATTGTTAAAGCCATTCTCCTGAGTTTTTACTTTAATGCAATTACTAGTCTGCAATTTACTGAAGCTTCAGTTGTTTGTGTTAAAATGGAAGACATCCAACTAAGTATATTTCTGGGCAGTTAATGCTGTTTTTCATTATTCATGTCCCACTCGCATAGCTGATTATTCCACTATATTTTTGTCAGCACAAAAACAGTCTAAATTTTTATTTTCTGTGAAATAACTAAACTGCTTATGAAGCTATAGAAGAACACAAAGTTGTATACAGAATGATCCCTTTTATACTCCACTAGAATTGCCTGTTGAATTTAACAATTTGCCATGTTCAGATTTTCCTCATCTCCTCTTTGAAATTCTCATTTATCAGAATGATGAGCAAGATAAAGCCAGATGTCTTACCAAAGTCCTCTGTGTCACCACAGTTATTTTGTCAGCCCGAATAATGACCCCATTTAAAGATGTGGAGGCTGCGACAGCCTATTTTCTCTAGGATTGACTAGAATGATGCTAATTATATACCTGACTGTTACTTTATTGTATGTTAATGACCACAGAGACCTGACTGTCCAATTGTTTCTCAGCATTCCTGGTTAGCTGGTTATAACTTTTATTTTCTCACTTGGTTTCATTTTCTTAAATAACATTTCTTTTTCCAACTGTCCTATTATCTTCTTTTTGGAACACAGTCAGTACTAGGCTGGTAATGTTCTGATGTCTAGTGATAATTTCAAGGCATGTTCTAATAATTGCTTATTCTGTGCAAAAAACCTACCTTAGTTCATCTTAAATTTCCTTCAAAATGCAGCCCTATTTACACCTTAACTTAGCCTTGAAAATACGTACAGAAACAGTATAGTATTCTGCTCTTATTCCACCCTGCACTGATTTCTGTATAATTTCTTACAGTATGCAGGTGCCTTCTAGAAGCAAGCTAAGATATGTGACATAATTTTTCCCTCTGCATTTAGGAAAAGAATTATTGTCAATGCAGAATATTGGGTGGTTGCTAAAGTTGGCAATGTAAGGAAAAGAGAAACTTGCATCACAACGGAAGATGATAAAGCTTATAATAATTCTCAGTTTCTCTTAGTCTTAAGAAAGAGAAGTGGGAGAGGCTATGCAAGTTGTTACTCTGTTGTTGCTCCTTCCTTCTTCCCAACAGTCTGAACTACATTGACAAGTCTTGCTGTCAGGATTAATTACACAGTATTCAGACAGACCTGTAAAAGTTCTCATTCTTGCAAAGATGAAGTTACTTAAATGGTAAAAATGTAGATTGCAGCAGATGGGTTGACCTGATGATTTTAGCCCTATTACTGGTGCTGTTCTGCATGTGTGTGAGAAGACAATTTAAAAAGTGTTATGAACATGTTTGGGACTATTTAGGTAGTCTTGCTGCTGCTGCAGAGAAGAAAGGAATTCCAGATGCAGGGTTTTATAATGGAAGTACCAGTAAAATCTGCAAAAGATGAACTGAAGCCAGACACTCAGAATTCACCTGCAAAACTTAAATATGCATGTTTAAAGTTCTGAGTGTCTTTTTTAATACTCTAAATGTTATTTTCCTTTTCCACCCCTCTGGCCCCACCCACCTTTTTTATTTTCTCCTCTCTTATGCTTTACCCCTTCTAGTTCCCTCCTCCCTGCCTCAGGTTTCCTCTCCCAATTCCTCTGTCTCCCGTTTTGCATTAATCCAGGTCCTTGAAATCTGTAGATAAACTATATTTATTAGATAAATGTAATAAAAAGTCACCCAGTCCACTTTTCAAGTTGAAATGATTATCGAAATGTAGAATCTGCAACTTAATTCAATAACCAGTAATCCGTTTCTCATACCTGGGAATATATTTCACTATAGTGTTTAGGAAGCCTCAATTTTTTTTGTTTAAATAGTTGGTCTCCTCTGCAGGTAGATGGGCACTTTACATACAAATATATAGAGAGATGATACAGAAAAAATATATATTATATAATATATATGCACAGTACATCTACATACCTATACACATATAAAGGTACATGGATTGTCATACACATATGTCTTTTAAGTAGCACGGGATGATAAACTGACAGAAAACTACATTGTTTCTGCACTTACAGATAAGGCTCTGAATTGCCAGTAGCTGTGCTTAAATTTAAAGGGAAACAGTAATAGCAAGCTGCCACATAAATAAATAGTTGAAAGTGAAACGAGGAAGGTAGATTAAGCAAGCAGCTCGTGAGAAAGTATTCATTTTCAAAATGCAGCACAGAAAGGAGAAAACTAAAAGGAGACAGAATCTTGGACGTTCACTCTGTCCATTAAGTTTAATGGTTCTATCAACGGCTTCATATGACAGGAAATGATCTGGGCGTTTTGTTCACTTAATCTGGATGCCCTTAGTTTCAGAGAGCAACCGGTAACATGGATTGCACCTCGGAAGGGGACAGCTGAACTCACCCTCTGGCTTTAGTGAGGAAAGAGCAGCGATGAAATCCGTGGACTGTGTGCACGTCATCCAACAGAAGGATACCGCCTCCTCTCCCTCTGCCCCCCCGGGTGCTGCTTCAGGCACCACGGGACTTTTTTCTGTCACATTCCTGTGGCTTGCAATGCTCCTGTCCTCTTGTCTTGCAGCAGTGTCTCTTTACCATGTTATCATCCTGAAAACAGAACTGGAAGCTCTGCGCAGCGAGTTGATCTACAAGGTCCAGGCAAGGTCTCCACTAGACCAGCCACCTGTGTCCCCTGATGAAAATGAAACTGGTGCCCCTGTTCCTTCCTTCCTGCAAGTGTCTGTAGCTGGCTCCAGGCAGGTAAGCTGGAAGGGTGGTTTTTGCCTTGCAGGGGATGAACAAATGTGAGGCTTCCTTCACCGACTGTCACCTCGCCCCATTAGGAGAGCAGGCTTCCTGATCCTGGCCCAGCTGAAAGCTTCCAAAAGGACATTTGGAATGGGAGCAGAAGCAGGGGGAGAAGGTCTGCTGTCCCCACAGAAGAAACAGGTAAATAGCAGCCAGTGGAGTGGGTTGGGATGTGCAGTTGGATGTTCTGAAAAAAGCAGTGGTGCTTGACTCGTATCTTCTCCTGTCAGCCTATCAGTGCTCCCAGAACCTGTTAAGCTTTTAGTTCTTGCTGAGTGAATGCTGTTAACTGTAGATATAATCTCTTAATGGATAGCATATTGCTTAAGGTACCAAATTTTCATGCTATCTGCAGGTAGATCTTTGAACTTTAGATCCCAAAGCTGCTGCTTGTAACACAGGCATTCCTCCATGATGCAGAAGAGGAAGGCAACTTTAAATTCTTCAGGTTGTAAATTTCTTGAGTCTAATTCCAGCACTCTCAGTTCAGGGTAGCACCTGGACTGTTTCTGTCTGATCAGTACTGGGGAAGGAAAACTATTTATAAAAATGCCAAGTAATTTTTCTAGGAAAACATGCTCATCATAAAAGAAAGAAGTGACAACAAAGCCCCTTAACTTAAGGAAAGTAGGAGCCTTCAAAGAGAAAGGCTAGCCTGTGCCTGTCACAAGAGTCAGACTACTCAAAATTCAGAAGTTCAGTGTAATTTCTGCATTACATCAATCTATTACTATAATCAGCAACATTAATAAAGGCATGCCTGTCCAGTAATATTTTTATCATGGACTTTTTTTAAAGGTGCTGCAGAGAACACCAAAAACTGTGCTCCATAAAAGGCATCTGATGTGTATTATAATCTTGGAATATTAATGGGGTATATTTGTTTCTTTTGGGAATAAAATGCTTCCTTTTATTATTTTTTTTTTCTTTTAGTCTTTCCAAACATGATGTCTGAGAGGATGAAATACAGAATTTTATTAAAACAATTTGCATACATACTCTAATTGTACAGAGTAACTAAAAATGTTCTTGAGTTGCTGAATAATTTCAATCCTCTTACCTTTGGTTTAACTGATGAAAGCTGATATCTTAAATTATTAACAGGTAAAGCTGAAATTGAGTTATTTGTAGGGTATTTGAAGACTAAATAAGACTTTGCTTAAAATGTGTTTTTAATTGACTAATTAATATGAAATATATTTCACTTCAGGTTCAGCAAGCTAAATGAAATTTAAATTCTAGAGTATTATTAGTCTACTCACCTCCAAGTCTCTCAAAAGGGAATACTCATTTAGGACATCACCCCAAATCCATAGTTTTAGATGGGGTTTATTAATTATTTCATCAGTAATCTTTCTTTCCGGGTCTTGGCTAAGAGTGATTTCACAAACAGGACTGAGGACAAGATTGCTTAAATTGTATTTCTTGTATCCTGTTTCCTAGCACGGGTGTCACAGAATTTTTCTGTTCTCTTCTAACATCTCCGAAATAAAAACTAGTAATCTTTTATACCTAAAGCACAAGCATCCTCAAAAATGTGGAGGCAAGTCTTTTTTAAAATGAATGTTACTGGATCAGTGCTCTACAAGCTGTTCAGTTCCCTTCACAGTAGCTTTCATCTTTATTCTTACTACTATTGGAGAGTGTATGGGGGAGAGGAGGGTTTTGGGCTCCTCAGCAGTGCCACTGGCATACATAAGATTGTTCTCATCAGGTAACCAACTCTGACTATACCTAGTTATCTCAGAGGGCTGGAGCACCTCTCCGATGAACATAGGCAGAGAGAGTGGGAGTTGTTCAACTTGGAGAAGAGAAGGCTCTGGGGAGACCTTATTGCTGCCTTCCAGTACCTGAAGAGGCTACAGGAAAGCTGGGGAGGGACAGTTTAGAAGAGCTTGTAGTGAGAGGACAAGTGGTAATGGCTCTAAACTAGAAGAGGGTAGATTTAGATTAGATATAAGGGAGATACCCTTGACCGTGAAGGTGGTGAGACACTGGAAGAGGTTGTCCAGAGAAACTGTGGCTACCCCCTCCCTGGAAGTGTTCAAGGCCAGATTGGATGGGGTTTTGAGCAACCTGGTCTAGTGGGAGGTGTCCCTGCCCATGCAGGGGGGTTTGAACTAGATGATCTTTAAGGTCCCTTCCAACCCAAACCATTCTGTGTTTCTATGTTCTTTCTTCTCATAAAATACTAACTAAGCTACTTATTTCTGTAAGCTTTTTCTTAAGAAGATACAACTGGCTTAAAATTCTTTAGGATGGATAACAAACAGCACAGATTCTGAACATTCACTTAAAAAGGAAAAGCTACAGTGGTTGTCTTACTAAAAAAACTTACTACAAAACTGCTTTCTAATACAACAATCATATTTTGATGTAGAAAAGACAAAAATGAAATAAAAAATCTTTCACTTACATAGCAGGTCAAGGTCATCTGTCAGATAGGGTTACCTTTTCTGCCTGCTCTGATTACAACAAGTTAAACTTTTTGGAGTTCAGTAATATCTTTTTTCCCAGATCAGACCTCACTGATGACCATGCACCAGCTAGACAACATTAAATTTAGTTTTAAGAGATTAATTAAATAAGAGAACATGATCGTGTGTTCATGGTGCCAAATCCTGCCTGTTACGTGGTCACATACACACAATTACTAGCCCTGAATTTTAATCTTCTCACATCCATTTCTGGTTACTGGAATCCTGGTAGCCTCCAGTAGCTGTATGTGCATTTTGTGCGTTGAGAAAATTTCTAGCTCAAGTATGTTGAAGAGATGGGTTTAAAGCATCAATTCCAAAAACAGCTCCACAGCTAGCAGTCAGAACCAGAGTTCTTGATATGATGAGTAGGAGTTAATGGGTGATTTTGAAAGGCACATATTATTAATATGCAGGCAGATGGATCATCTGGCAAATGTCATATAAGGACATATAAGAAGAGGAATAATTTGTATTATTTGTCTTTCTTTTTCTAAATTTTGCCTGCAGAGGAAAACTGCTACACAACAAAAACATCTCCCAGATTTTATGCTCTGGTTACAATTGTTGATTGTCTTGTATGCATGTTTCTCTCTATGCTGTATGTGTGCTTGAGTCCAGGAACAAGATACAGGTCCCATTTCCTACACCAGTTCACTGTACAAATGCCAAGTTTCATTTACAAGCTCTTTCTGTGCCTTGTTCTGATCATTGTTGTGGGATTCTCATTCCTGTGGCCATCTAGGGTGGTGAGCATCAGGCCTTCTGTAAACTCAAATTCAGACCATGTTCTGCTGATCGTATTGGAGCACCCATGGAGTATATTTACTTCAGTGTATTGAGGTTATCCATCTCAACCACTGTGATGGAAACCCAGCAGAAACTCTAAATTCCACAAAGCAGTGAAACAAGTTAACCTGGTGTATGGCTTGACAATTTTTCTTGTAACTAGCTGTTCCCAGGTGCTACCCTAATACCAGTTGTGTCTGTGCGTAATAACTATCACCATGCAAGTGATGTGTAAAAGTCATTCTTGGTATAATTTTCTTACTGGCAAACTGTTATATTTGTGGGGTAGAAGTGTTTTGACTAACTGTTATTGTCACAGAGATCTGTGACAGAGGGATAGCAAGGACTTTTACAAGTGGAAGTTGAATTCCCTCACCAAATATCCAAATTACTTCCTAATTTATTATTTGAGGGGAAGAAATATAAGAGTTCTCTTAATGATAATAAAAGGCCTACTTCTTGAAAAGATATTGTATTCATTTTTGTTTCTGCTGACAACAGACTAACTCAAAAGGAAGTAGACTCTTCTATGCAAGAGGATAGAAAATTACTTGATACAGTGCTTGCAATTTTACATGAGAAACTCCACTTAATGATTGAATGAATTCGTGTTGCATATTATGCAGAACAGTGCATGAAAAAATACACAATATATTATCGGATTTTTAAAAATATTCTGCTTTATACTGTATAATAGAAGTCTATATAAGGTATTCTTAATTCTTAGTAAATTATTTCCTTATTATTCTTATTGTAACATATTACTGCTAATTCTGTGAAGGTCAAAATAATTCTACCAATAGTTTGAAGATATGTGTTAAATCTGAGCCATATCCATAACTATGACCCAGCCATTTTAATGCAGGTACTGATTTAATTCATTAGTAATGTCATATAAAGACTTAATTAAAATGCAACAAATTAACCAGTCTATAAAAAGGCACAAGCAAAAAGTAGAAGAAGTTATCTTGTGATGAGAAATTAAGTTAAGGGAAGAAGAACTGCAAATTTTACAAGAATATGCATATAACTTATATACTGAATTATCTAGTGTTTGTTTCAGGAAGTCTACAGAGAACAGATCTAAACCAAAGAAGGAACTTAAACAAGCATGTCTGTTTTTTAAAGTTCAGCTTTTTTGCTTGTTTTTGTTTCAGCAAAAATTGGGATAGGTGTCTCAGGCCTCAGACAGCAAAACTTACAGATTTATTCATGAGTTCATAGATAACAAACTTGAAATTTTGTTTGGATGGATTATGAAATTGGACTGCAAAATATTAAAATTTTTATACAAGTTAAATAGAGAGGGCAAATTGGAGTTTATCAAAATCAGGTTTTAAATAATGCGACACACAGAAGGGTGCATTCCTATCCCCATACAAAAGCTAGCTTTTTAAAAAAACATTGCTCAGGTGGTGGAGAACACAACCCTTCATGTACTGGATGTGGTTTTAGAGGCATATGGGGTGACTAATTTCTCCAGAATTGGCTGTTCTGTTCATGGAAGAAGAGAGATTCTGAAATGTTATTCTCCTCAGCCACAACCCACAAAGCTGTTAAAATCAGAAAAAGGAGAATGAGACACACTTAGTTGTTCTCAATACATTCTCTTTTATACAACTAGACCTCAAGGGGACATTCAATCTACATATTTTTACACATCTTAAGGACGTAATTTAGAAATCCTGTGTCCTGCTTGCATTATTAGTTATATAAATATACTTTAGACTACAGAACTGATGCTCAGGTTTGATTTTACACCAGACTGAAGGGCAGTCAGGTAGAGATTTTTATTGATTCTGCACAGTGCTGACAGTAACAATTCAACCCGTATTTTTAATGCACGTATTCTTGGTATCGTATTTTAGGTAAGATTTGGGTCCTTCTTGCAACAGAATTGATAACATTTCTTAACAATATTAACTTTTTACTGAAAATCCCTGTCAATTTACCGAGAAAGTGTACTCTGCCTAACCATATCTTCTCCTTAATAGTAGTGTTGTTGACTTTGAATTTGTTTCAACAAATTACTTAATTTTAAGCATGTATGTAGTTCCACTGAGGTCAAAGTGAAGTGCTTGTATACACTGGAAATAGTTATGTGTCAGTCTTGGCTTCTGAACATTTTTTTTAAACATGTTGTTGCTCAAACCCTCAAACACTTTTTTAGATATTATTTTTCCTTTGCAGCTTTAGGAAAAACACCCACTGCACTAATTTCTTTTCCCTTTATTTTCATGAATGACACTGTTTTATCTGCATTTCTCCATGAAGACCAAGCTTACTATATTCTGTGGAGCATCTGCATGCACTAAAAAAAAGAGAAAGTGAGATTTCTTTAGAGATTATAAGTAAATTTAATATCTGTAGAAAATAGGACAGTTGGTTTGTGTTTTTAAAAGGCAGAAAAGTTCTCAGACTGTACTGAACTTGCTGATTTTAATTACTGTGTAGCAGTTCTCAGCATTGATGAGTAGCATTTCAACACTGCAAACAACTGAAACAGAACTCAAAATTGCGAACTGTGAATCAAGATAGTTTCAAGAATATGGATCAAGTTTGCATAGCAGGTTTAACCAGGGTTACTAGAGTAGCCATAACTTTTACTGCCTGTGGACACCACTTGTTGGTACCCAGCTGGTTAGTGTGAATCATAAGTAATCCTCTCTTGTTTGGTTAGTGAAAAAAAACAGTGGCCATACTAGTGAGTTCTTTTAAAAGCAGGTTTTTTTTAGGCAGGAATGAAATATTTATTTAGCTTACTGAAATACCAGAGAATCAGCAAATTCTATTCACTAGGAAGGCACTTTACTCTGAAGGAGAATGAAAGAATACCTTGTGAAAATAAATTACCTGATGTGCTTTGTTGTGCAACTCCAGAAAATCAGAGTTTGATTTTCTTCGGAAATTCATTTTCCAGGAAGTTCTGGAAGTTTCTATCATACTCATAAGTATGATAGAAAAATGTCTGAAGTTCAATACCTTTTTCAATTTTGTGTTGGTTTTTGTATTCTTTATCAGAAGGTAGGGAATTCTTGGTCTGGGTTTAAATTCTTGGTCTGAAAAATCTATTGATTTTTACACATTATCAATGAACATTGATAGAACTCAAGGACACATTGCAGTGGAGAGCATGGGAACTGACAGGATAACATTCCTGTTAACATAGGTGGGGCTTGCAGGCTGTGTGATCATCGTGCCATTGGAGCACTCCCAGACATGCGCTTGAATTTTTGTCAGTTGGCACTGCTGAAAGCTGGTGAACATCCAGCCCTCTTGTGAGTTTTTCAGGCAGGCCCCCTTGGAAAGGAGACTTAGATCCAGAGACAGGCTACTTTCTACCCAAATCCTCTCACCACCTGCCAAACAGTAAGAGGTTTGTGTTGCTGGGCACACGTGGGTACCACTGGCAGATGTAGAAAAAGGATCACAAGGGCACTGCAGATTATAACAGGAGTGGGCAAAACTGACCGCTAGCCTTCTTATCTGAAATGAGGTAAATGTAAAATGGAGATTCAACAATCCAGAATTTTCTTGGCTCTTAGTAAACTAATTTGATTTCTTTCAAGTGCAGTCTATGTCACTACTTTTATTTCCAGTCTTCAAAGTAGCACTGGAGCCAGATGTTTGCAAAAAATCTGCTCTGATAAAAGGCAACTAACTCTTTCTTTTCTTTTCTTTTCTTTTCTTTTCTTTTCTTTTCTTTTCTTTTCTTTTCTTTTCTTTTCTTTTCTTTTCTTTTCTTTTCTTTTCTTTTCTTTTCTTTTCTTTTCTTTTCTTTTCTTTTCTTTTCTTTTCTTTTCTTTTCTTTTCTTTTCTTTTCTTTTCTTTTCTTTTCTTTTCTTTTCTTTTCTTTTCTTTTCTTTTCTTTTCTTTTCTTTTCTTTTCTTTTCTTTTCTTTTCTTTTCTTTTCTTTTCTTTTCTTTCTTTCTTTTCTTTTCTTTTCTTTTCTTTCTTTCTTTTCTTTTCTTTTCTTTTCTTTTCTTTTCTTTTCTTTTCTTTTCTTTTCTTTTCTTTTCTTTTCTTTTCTTTTCTTTTCTTTTCTTTTCTTTTCTTTTCTTTTCTTTTCTTTTCTTTTCTTTTCTTTCCTTTCCTTTCCTTTCCTTTCCTTTCCTTTCCTTTCCTTTCCTTTCCTTTCCTTTCCTTTCCTTTCCTTTCCTTTCCTTTCCTTTCCTTTCCTTTCCTTTCCTTTCCTTTCCTTTCCTTTCCTTTCCTTTCCTTTCCTTTCCTTTCCTTTCCTTTCCTTTCCTTTCCTTTCCTTTCCTTTCCTTTCCTTTCCTTTCCTTTCCTTTCCTTTCCTTTCCTTTCCTTTCCTTTCCTTTCCTTTCCTTTCCTTTCCTTTCCTTTCCTTTCCTTTCCTTTCCTTTCCTTTCCTTTCCTTTCCTTTCCTTTCCTTTCCTTTCCTTTCCTTTCCTTTCCTTTCCTTTCCTTTCCTTTCCTTTCCTTTCCTTTCCTTTCCTTTCCTTTCCTTTCCTTTCCTTTCCTTTCCTTTCCTTTCCTTTCCTTTCCTTTCCTTTCCTTTCCTTTCCTTTCCTTTCCTTTCCTTTCCTTTCCTTTCCTTTCCTTTCCTTTCCTTTCCTTTCCTTTCCTTTCCTTTCCTTTCCTTTCCTTTCCTTTCCTTTCCTTTCCTTTCCTTTCCTTTCCTTTCCTTTCCTTTCCTTTCCTTTCCTTTCCTTTCCTTTCCTTTCCTTTCCTTTCCTTTCCTTTCCTTTCCTTTCCTTTCCTTTCCTTTCCTTTCCTTTCCTTTCCTTTCCTCTCCTTTCCTCTCCTCTCCTCTCCTCTCCTCTCCTTTCCCCTGACATTTCTGCTTTGCAGATTTTAAAAAAAATAATATGTCTGTTTCACTTGTGAATTTTAACATACCACAATCTAATCACATACCACTCTGGTCAAACTCGTAGTTTCTCATTAGTGTCACCAGCCTCTATGGTTTTGAGTAGCACATCAGTTTTGACAGACACTAAGCTATTTGTTATGTGTGCATCAATTTGCTAACAGTCATCTCTGTATCTTCCCTCTTTCAGTCTCAGTACAGATTGGTTGAATGTGGGTATCTGAAAACATGTTGAAACTGCATATATATGGATTTTGATAATTTATTTTGAAAGTACCATGTAGCAGTCAGTATATATGACTAATGTTTTACAGCAACTATGACTGGAAACTAATTTATTGAAATAATACAGTAAACATCCTTAGAAAATGTAGTATCTGTCATAGCTGGCAGGGTTGGGGGTTTTCTTAGCTTTTGATTTGAATATTAACAAGATTAATTGATCCAATAATTCCTAGCTCATTTGATTTACTGCTACATTTTTGAGTTATATTAGGACTAGAGATTAAAACAAGCAATTACGACTTGTGCTGGTATCTGAAGCCTCCTTCTTAGTTGCATGATCTCTGAAAGTTACCAAATAAGTGTTGTGGTATGAATTTTGTTTTGGCATGTTTGAGTAAGAGCTGCATTAAAGTCAGTAGATTTTGTTTTCTAGTAAGTGGTGAGACCAAGAGAAGATTTTTTCTCATGTCCCCCTTTTTAAAAAAGTAGTTTCAAAAGCTTACTTTGTTCTATTACTGATTTACATGTCTTTGATTTCAAAATGCTTTCACTTTGCAGTGCTGCAAGCCTGCTTGCAACTGATTGCTGACAGCAAAAGTGATATCCAACAGAAAGGTAAGAATATGTTTGATGATTTGTAAATCACTATTCCATGAACTAACTTTTCCATCTAATCTTACCCAGTTTCAAAAAAGTAACTGAGTTATGTGGCTGAATTTAAAAATACTTTTTTAAAAAAAGAGGTCCTTGCATCTGGACAACTCTTGCAAATACCCTCTTTTCAGTGAGGAAATCCAGCTGTAAGTCTTGACTGGAAGTCAGCTTTGTTAATTGTTGGCAGATAAGAATGAAGACAGTAACTTTTCTTTCTGATTACTCAAAAATTATTTTTTCTTCTAGATGATTCAAGCATTGTCCCTTGGCTTCTGAGCTTTAAACGTGGAACCTTTTTTTTAAGGAAATAAAATAGTGATCAAAGAAACAGGATATTTTTTCATATATGGCCAGGTGAGAAAGCTCAATTCTTTGCAGTATCAGACTTTTTAAAGCATTTTTAATGCCTCCATACAATATGTTTGAAGTCTGCACCTCTTCATCCTGTAGGTTTTATATACAGATACAACTTTTGCCATGGGACACCTAATACAGAGGAAGAAGGCCCACGTATTTGGTGATGATCTCAGCTTGGTGACACTGTTCCGTTGCATCCAAAATATGCCACAGTCTTATCCGAATAATTCTTGCTATACTGCTGGTAAACATCTAAGTTTCCAATTTCTTTATTGGCAAATACGCTGTAGCAAATAGATTCTGTAGTGTTGGGTGATTTGTTGTTGCAGCAGTTGTAAAGAAAATAAGAAAACAGATTGCCTTCATGTCTCTGGTTAATTGAAAAATTACAGAATATTTTCTGGTTTTACATAAAATATATAGGCAATTGGAGGGCATGCTTCTAGCTTAGGTGATCTGAACAACTTCTCTCTCTCCATTAACTATATAATTTGGTTAGATACCTCAGTGCTTTCAGTTAGATGCCCAAGGCAGACGAAAGGAGCATATACTGTTCTTATTGAAGAATTCAGCTTAACTAGGGCTTGAATTCCTTGTTTAATTACCCTAGTAAAATTTTTAGGAACTATGTTCTGTGTTAAAACATCATATATGAATTTGAACCTTACAATTTTTCCATACCTTACTGTGGGATATTTCTTATTAGCTTAATTCTCTACTTCTTATAACAGCTACTGCAGTTTTACTCTTTGGTTAGGTGAAAAATAGTTAATTCCTATAAGAAACTTTCTGACTGCACAAATTAGAAACACTACAAGAAAGACCAGTTCAAATATTTCATGCAGGTCAAGCAGATTCATTGCTCTCTCTCTCTCTATATATATATATGTATATATAAAAATTCCTGCAGCTGTATTTAGGGATTTATTGTCAAAACCTATTAAAACTTGTTCAGCAGCTCCTACCTATCTGTCTTTCCCTCTTAACAGTAAATTTGAGGTTTTCCTTTTTTGTTATTTTTTTTGCAAGATCTGTGTGAATAAACACTATATTTTTTTTTCAATGCCATATAAAAAAGTGGATGACATTGAGTGATGAAGTTGACTGTTGGCACATAATAGCATTAAATAAATGGGATGGAGAAGGAAGCTGATATTTTTCCAAATAAAAATATAAATAGATTAGGTACTTTCTCCTGGCAGTTTAGGCCAGTTTCTTTAACTTTCTGTCCCTGCACCCACACTTTCTGTCATCATAACCACCTTCAATGTCATCTGTCCTCTTATTTCACTCTTGCATTATTCCCTCCACTTTCTTTAATAGGATCTCTATTCCATCCTGCCACTTCACAGCTCCTGCTTCCGAAATGTCCCACTCTTCTGCTTTCACTCGGAAGACCAAATCTCATTGTTGCTTTTGGTTATATCACATCAGCTGATGTGCAGCTTGCAGGAAGCAGACCTTTGTGCTCTGCTGTTGCAGTAGATCAGCTGATGTCTGGTAACTTTATTGGGTTGGTAAAGCTCATGAGATCCCCTCCAGCAGTGTGGGAACTGAGTGGTCTAGGGCCAGAAATAGCCAATGCTGACCTTGACCATCACACCACCAAAGCATGAGGTATCTGGGTACACCACTGATGTGAAGTCTTGCAGCGTTTGCTTAAGTCAACTGTGATATACTAACTGTGGTATGGAAAGTAAGTCCAGCTCCACAGAGGATGTTAGTTGTCAGCTTTGGGTAGGCTGCAGTTTGTAAGATTGTACCTAAAGATAACAAAGAACTCATCACAAGTAGCAAGCCATGCTTGTATTTCTTAGGTGACACGTAATGACCTTTTGAATACTCTTTATTAAAATAATGTATTTGAATTATTAACTTTAAAATATTCCAAATCTTTTGCCAGGCATTGCAAAATTAGAAGAAGGGGATGAGCTGCAACTTACAATACCAAGGAGAATGGCCAAAATATCCTTGGATGGAGATGGTACTTTTTTTGGTGCAGTTAGACTCCTCTGAAGCCCTTCATTTCTGTGACTATGCTTAATGCAGTTTTCTTTTTTTTCCTGTGCCTTTGTTGGAAAGAAATACTTAATTTTAATAAAGCTGCCAATTCATTCTCTTCCCATCCACCACCAGCTTCTGAGAACTTTTCTTCGGTTAATAAGTAAAGCCAAAACAGGAAACACACCAGACATACTTGAGAGATATAACGAACATGTGATTACCAGAAAGCAAATTTATTTTAGACAATGGGAGGCTCTAAATAATAACTGTAAGGCAATATGTTTTTGGCTTTGAAATAATTTCTTGTTCATAAGGCAAATCAAAAAAAGAGCTGACCATGAAGTATAGCATAGACAGGACTATTAAATTATTATCCATAATTGAAAAGGAAAAGGAAAACACAAGTACATCTTAGGTTTGCTTTGTTTCATCAACAAAATATTTGAAGTATAAATAATGGGAAAGAAACTGCAAGCAGTAGATTCCTCATCACAAAAAGGAGGTGTCAGATGGGTTCTGGGTTTTGGGGATTTTTGCTTTTTCCTTGACATCACATTTTTGAGGAAGGAAAAAGTCTAAGCATATGGCATAATGAAAAGTCTAAACGTACAGGATAATGCAAACAAATTCCTCAGAAATATACAGAAAAGTAGTCATTGGCTTGATTCTTTCCTGTGAACAAAAAATGTATAAACTGCTAAAATCTGTTAGTATTTACTAACTAGAATCAGTTTTACTGGGGAAAAAAAGAAGCTTCAACAGCTCAATCTTCAAAGCAATGCAACTCATCAGGGACTATGTGTATACTTCTATGTAAGCAAAGCAGGGATAAACAGAAACACAGTGAGATTAGACACAATACAATAGGTGGAATTGAATTTCTGGCTTCATAATTTCTGCAGTCAAATATAGATGTTGTGTGTTTACATATACAATCTGTATATGTATATATATGAAAGTATGTACCCACACGTATAAGCCTTTGACATTTGGCTATAGAATTAGATCTTCTTTTAAATATTTTATCCAATGGAATTTTTTTTATTTTATTTTTTTTTTCTCTTCTGTCTTGCTATGATCCATTCTTTGCAATAGAGTAAAAAAGAAAAATCCAATAAACCTGCAACAGCTATATGGAACTAAAAAATACATTTGTATCCCAGAAATCTTAGCTCAATCCCTAGGTTAACTATGGGTGTTTTCTGCAGTTTTGAATATATTGCTCAAAAAACACTATTTTACATTTTAAAAAAAACCCAAACAAACCAACAAACAGATCTGTAAAGAGACTTAACAGATGCCTTCTTTTCTTTTCTGTTTACCCTAAAAATCCATGTGTCCAGGTGACAGCATGGTGATAGTGAAGTCAAGACTTTCAGGCACTAGTGTAATATAAGCATTGAATACTTATTCCACTGATCTTATTCCACTTATTCAAAGATATATCAAAGTGCTACCAGAATAGATAAAATAATAAAACCCACAGTATTGAAATTTACTGAATTGGATATTTTTAGGGTTTGAGAATTGTGTCATACAAGCTCATGTAGTAAAGCGCTTTGTATATTGCAGTCTCCCCATATGTTCTTTTAAAAAAAGACATTTCAGCAATAAGCATATGTGTATTACATTACCACACTGGGATGGATTTTTATGAGTCTTTACAGTTTTAAAATGTCTGGAAGTCCTCCGTTATAGAAATTTATTTATTTATGTGTCCTGGAGCCAAGCTGCCACTACTTCTGCTTCTTCTTATTATTTTTTAACTTTGATGTGCTAATTTTGCCAAAAACACATATTTAATCCTCTACAGAAGCCTTCAGTTTAGCCAAGGGTTGTGTGAATCTCTAGGTAAATAAAACATTTATTAGCATGCAGTGAGTTGTCTGTTTTTACTGACATACAGATGCATAGAATCAGAACCTTCTTTATTTTAGAATCTATAGTGATTGTAGAAAAAAAAAAAAAATTACTTCAGCTTTCCCAGAGACTTGATGGCTAAAGTTTCAAATTTAACTTTTACTACGTTAAGTTCTCTCAGCAGTTTCAGTGGGTTCGTGTGTGCTTAGCTTAAGCCAATTCTGTAAGTAATTGGCACCTTAGAGTATGTCACTCTGACATAAAAACGCAAAGTGTAATATTTTCTATATGCATAGCACAGCAAAAAGTCTGTGAAGCTAAATCTGTTGCCATCGCTGCCTCTTTCCTTTTTTTCTTCCTATGTAGTTTTCATAGGTTTCTGCAACTTCGGAAAGTCTTTGGGGTATGGTGTGGCTTGGAGGAAACTTTTCTTTTCCGGATAAAGTAATTTCAGAAGTGTTCCCTTCCTTTAGTAGGCTGAAACTGAACCTTGAGTTTCTTCACAAAAAAATGCTAACCATGAGAAGTCCCGTATATGTGCATGGAGTGCAAGTCGACAAAATGTTTAGATGTTTTTACTGACAAAGCTGGCAATTTTATTTTTGGGATTGTTTTCTGCTGGTTCCATAAGAAAAAAAATTAATTTCTTCTCAAAATCAATTTGCTCCTGCATGAAATTGAGTTTTAACAGATCAGCATTTTCTGACCAAAGCAGGAAGAAAAGTAGGATGCCTCATTCCTGATGGTTCTGCTAAGAAATTGGTACATGAGGTAGCGAAGTGCAAACTGCACCTGGACCACTATCCTGTTTATTACTGTTATATTACAGTGAGGGTGTTACAACAGAAACTTTCTGCATTTGATTTATGTTATTTAAATAAGTATGATAGGTAATAAGCAGTATCTAGTTGGTTCTTACCATACTTTACATTTTTACAAGGGCATCTAGCTTTTAAGATAGGTTTCTGCAAATGCAACAAACTGTGTAAATACTCTGGTTTTTTTTCATGTGATGTTAAGCAGCATTGTGGGCTAAAATAAGTGACTTGAACATTTTATTTCCAGCACATTTTCAGAGAATGTGTGAGCTTGCATCATTCTTTCCTTTTGAATAATGTGCAGATGGCAGATACATAGCTGCTTTGCAACCTGTAATTTGTCTCTTAAAAATGAAAACAAGTCTGTTACACAATGTGCAGTCACACACAGAACATACTCATAACACAGTTTTCGTGACTGTCTCAAATTGCCCAGGATTTGCCACCAGAATACCTTAATTCAGTTGTCCCATAGTTTTTCCAAACTTTTACACCACTGGAGTTGAGATTTTCTGTATCTGTGGTTAACATATTAACGTTGAATTCTCTTTGATAACTTCAGCCCAAAAAGTTCTACTCTGCCAAAGATGAGGGTAGGGGAAATGTGTTGCTTAGCTTTTATTTTAATGATTGGGCTGCTTTTTCTTTGGAAAGATCTTGAGACTCTATGCTTTGAAAGAAAAAAAAATGGGTGTAATGCGGGTTTTGCTTGTTTTAATCATGGTCTTCTTTTTCTTCCTTTCTTGCACACTGATACTTAGCCAAGGTATACACGTTTGAAGCATATTTTATGCTGCCTATTGGGCCTATTCTGTCTCTATGGAACTTTCAAAAGGGAGAAGAAAATGTTCCCAGTGATTTTGTCTCTTAGCTGAGACCTCCATCAGTAAGATCTAAGGTTGTTTTTCAAGGTCAGTGCAAGTAGCAGTGAGAAGGAAGCTGGCACAAATGCAGGGAAGAGGAAAGGTAAATACTTAATACAGAAAAGATCTCATGAACTTTGCAGGTTACATAGAGTTTAGGGGTGATTGAGGGAACAAACCAGATGTGGAGTCAAACTGAAGAAACTGGAGAGACTCTAACTAGGATCTGATTACTTGTGAGGTGGGGAGAAATGCAAGGGCATGAAATGGACTGCCTTTGAAAAACCTGGGAACTAAGTGAGGTTCGGCAAAGGCAGCAGCTTTGTGGTAAAGGGCCAAGGGTTCCTTGGGGAAACAAAGCTAAACAGAAGCCCACAGTGAGTCCTGCTGCAGACAAGGACTAGCAGCATAGTTCTCTGTATTAACATAAGTGTTACCAGTAGATTAAGGGAAGGGGATCTTCCCCGTTTCTTAGCACCTTTCAGAGTTTATTTGCGATACTGCATCCAGGTTTGGACACAGTACACCCCAAATGTAATATGGACAGGAAGAAACTTGAGGGAATCCATTTGTAGGGCAAGGGGGGTGGTCAAGGTGGAGCACACACCTGCCCTGCTAGGAGGGGCTGAGGGAAATCGCTTTATCCAGTCTGGAGAAGAGGCTCGTGGGGCCCTGGTCAGGGTGGATTGATAGGCCAAAGCCAATTGTATGAAGTTCAACAAAGTCAAGTGCTGGGTCCTGCACTTGGGTCACAACAACCCCATATTATGTTACAGGCTTGGGCCAGAGTGGCTGGAAAGTTGTCCAGAGGTGAAGGACATGGGGATGTTGGTTGACAGCTGGATGAACATGAGTCAGCAGTGACCAGATGGCCAAGAAAGCCAGTGGCATCCTGATCTGTATCAGAAATAGCCAGCAGAATTAAGGAAGTGATCGTGCCCTTGTACTCAGCACTGGTGAGGCTGCACCTCGAGTACTGTATTCAGGTCACTCACTACAAGAAGGACATAGAGGTGCTGGAGCATATCCAAAGATGGGAACCAAGCTGGTGAAGGGTCTAGAGCACTAGTCTTATAAGGAGCAGCTGATTGAAATGCCATTGTTTAGTCTGGAGAAAAGGAGACTGAGGGGAGATCTTATTGCTCTCTACAATTGTCTGAAAGGAGGTTGTAGTGAGGTGGGGGTTGATCTCTTCTGCAAAGCAACAGGCCATAAGACAAGATGAAATGGTTTCAAGTTGTTCCAGCAGAGATTTAGATTGAATATCTGGAAAAAAATATTCACTGAAGGTATTGTGAGGTACTGGAACAGGCTGTTCAGGGAAGTGGTAGAGTCACCACCCCTGCAGGTATTTAAAAGACGTGTAGAAGTGGTGCTAAGTGACATGGTTCAGTGGTTAACTTGGCAGTGCTGGGTTAATGGTTGGACTTGGTGACTTTAAGGTCTTTTCTAACCAAAACAATTACATTATTCCATAATAGTAGCTTTCCTGTACCAGTTAGGAGGTTGTCACAGAAACAGAATCATACCCTTTAAGAAGTTCACAGTGGTGTGAGAAGAGAAAATGGGCACAAATTTGTAAGTTCACTCTTGACATAATGAAAAATATTTCCATATAGTCACAGTCTATGTGGATCTCTCAAATGTACACGTCAATGAATTTTGTAAATTAAACTTCATTTTATGAGCTCATTAGGAAAGAAAGCAAACATGACAAACAAG